CGGGTGTTTCCAACTTTTGTTCCCAACAACACATTAGAAACTCGAACAAAAAGTCCACAAGTATTCACATCATTTTCACTTAGATTTCCATATTATGATACATGTTCATAATATTTCCAGGTATGGAATAGTACAATATGAATGCAAAGACTTGAATGATATTGTATACACTCGGTCATCAAATCGGTGTCAGTTCAGTCTGTCAAATGGTTTGCCAGCAAAGATTTTTAAAGTCCAGCAGGTGTCAGTGACACAGTATCAATACAGAGTGTCATTGTGTCAACATTTTTCATGGTGCCATATGGGCCCATCACGAGACACCAGTACTTGGGATTCTGAAGGCATTTCGCCATGATGTTAGCAACACACCCGAAAGGTGACTGGAAAAGAAATTAGCCACAAAAAACTGCAAACGACATGAAGTTAAGTCAGAAGACATTTGGAAATAAATGATTCCCATTTCATGTTGTCCCATTCAAGTTGTAAATGTCGGTCCGTGCGTCCAATGGTACGGAGCCCCTAAGGGGACATGGAAGGAAAAAAAAAAAAACTTTGCGAGATCTCGCAAAGTAATGCGAGATCTCGCAAAGAATGAGAGATCTCGCAAAGAAAGAATGCGAGATCTCGCAAAGAATGCGAGATCTCGCAAAGTAATGCGAGATCTCGCAAAGTATTCCAAAGTATTGCGAGATCTCGCAAAGAATGCGAGATCTCGCAAAGTATTCCAAAGTATTGCGAGATCTCGCAATCTTTTATTTATTTATTTATTTTTAATGCTGTTGATGTGCTTCCGGGTCATCGTACGTCTCATCGAAAACAACAATCATGGAAATGCACCACTTATTCTCATGACGGTTTCAGGCAAAATGGGAGTTTTCAGTTTTACCCAAAGGTATTAAGTTTTATATTCCATTTAAAATTTTGAGATTGATGTTTGTAAGAATTTGTCAATGTGAATAAAATGTGTTCCAAATCATTCTAAGTTTTTTTAAACACAAGACACCACCTGCTGACGAAAGTGAGGAGTGACAATTACGTAGTCATTTACAGGCAGGTGAAAATTCAATTGGGATGATGTACAATTATGCAGGAATACTCTTCAGCATCCACGTTGGTTAAGTATTTATGGATAAAGTCAGCAACCAAGAAAGAATGTTTATTTACACCAATAATGCTTTGACAAATAAACATTTTATATTGTAGATCAAATATGTTGTCCTTATACAGGAAGAAAAACAGCAGATAAAAATGCTTTTAATTATGATGGCTATACATTATTCGTCATCAAAAGTGTTTCAATTATCCATTGAAAGTGAAGTGATAAAAGAACTGACAATGGTCAAATTCAGGCTTCAATAAATGTTACTTCTCACACCAGCTGAGGAGCCATAATATACTTTGGCCCAAACACCAAGCAAAACATAGATGGCTGTAATTTATATTTACATTTGAATATAAAATAATAGAATATAAATACCATTCTAATATGATTGGTGTTCGAAAGGAAAACTACTTTCACCAACAGTTACATGTCTCTGAACCCTGAAAACATAATCCTTGTAATTTAAAGAGTAGCGGTGAGGGCCGCTCTGAGGTGCAAATACAAGTTCACAGCCTGATATCGATCTTTTGGTGGCATTAAATCGGACCGGGACATTAAAAAAGCACACAATGCAAATACATCCGGATCACAAGGCATGGTCAAACGAAAGACACACTGGCTTTTGCACAGTTGAACTTGTTCATCGTCAACTGGGGAGAGGAAGTCCCTTGTACCATAAAGTTCAGGTAACGTATACATCACGTTGGGCCGACCACTGGGGACATTCATGTTCTTTGAGGGCCTGATGAGATGGCTGTTCCAAACTAGGGCCATGTCATCCAACTCATCCTGTTGAAAATAGTATACAGACAGATTAAGAAGGAGCTGCACAGTCATATCAGCTTTTATGAGCAAGAAATTATAGCATGAAGCTGCTTTTTTGTCTCACTCCTCCCCTCTCATGTGTACCACATCTCACCACTACCCACTTTTCCTTCACCTTCACCCTGTGACACCGCCCCCCACCACCATTATCTTCTTTCTTTCTTTCGTGTTCCTGTTCACTTTCCCATCAACTCACTCTCACATACAAAAATACACATTTAATTAATGAGTCTATCAGAATGTATGAACTCACCTGAATAAGTCCCATGCAACAAAATTGTAGGATGTTTTTGTCCAGAAATCCACCATCAAAGAAGCCATTGTCTCTGAGGTCTGTGAAGAGGGATAACCAGAACTCCATGCACTGGCTGCGAAGAAACCGCCACCAATATTCAATTCTTTGATTGGCGGTGCTGGCTCCATCCAAGTAACTGTCAAGAGTGTTGCCTGGCGGTATTGGCACCAGGAAACGCTGGAAGCCTTTAACGTGACCATTTTCAGTCCCAAGATCAGCTCGAACGATTCGAGGACAACCCCCCAAACGGTGCACAACTTCGATGTAGTAACCTCCAATCAACTTCGGGTCACTACTTGTTGTGTAGGCATTGAGCCACATTATTTTCCTTGAAAAACCATCAATTGCCCCATTGATACAAATTCCAAATGGTTTCAGTTTGTCATAGGAGTCCATGTGCCATATAAAATTTGGCCCTTTGGAGAAGTAGTTTCGTCGTCTCAGACGTCTTGCTTGCCTTAACGACACTCCTCTCGGATCCAACTCTTTCAGGACCAGACGAACGTCCTCTTTCCTGACAAGAAGTCCATATTCTCTGCACTTACTGTACATCCACCTGTAACCGTGTAGTTGTCCGGAATGCTGCAATTGGTTGCGAATGAAGTCAACCAGGACTCCCAAGTCATTGAACGTTTTCCGACGAAATAGTCCTCTTTGGTTCAGCACTCGCTTCAAATGTCTTTCGCTTATTTGGAAACCGTATTTAACATCAAGAACAGATTTAATGTCTTTGTATTTTAAGCCAATTTCAAAGTAAAATTCTATTAAACTCACGAACGGTTGAACACCCTCCATGATTGTTGTTTTGATGATACGTACGATGACCCGGAAGCACATCAACGAGCATTAAAAATAAATAAATAAATAAAGGATTGCGAGATCTCGCAATACTTTGGATTACTTTGCGAGATCTCGCATTCTTTGCGAGATCTCGCATTCTTTCTTTGCGAGATCTCGCATTCTTTGCGAGATCTCGCATTACTTTGCGAGATCTCGCAAAGTTTTTTTTTTTTTCCTTCCATGTCCCCTTAGGGGCTCCGTACAATGGTGCTGGGGCCAGCAAAACAACTTTTGGAATGCCCAGACTGCACCCCACCGATATCTTTATCTACATTTTGTCAGTCTCCTAAAATGATGGCCCACATCATTTGTCATAGAACAAGAAAAACGGAACAAATACTATTTCATAATTTCATTTCAGGGGTTGACTTGTACAACTCATTTATCTGAGGATGGAGCTGATTTTAGCAGAGATGGCCAGAAAACCTGAGATGTTTAAGGCTAAAATAAAATACTTTAATAGGCTGACGCCAGGCAAAATTCACTTTTCGGAGAGAACATGAACTAAAAACAATGAGGATGCAGTTAAAACTTAAATGACCATTATATTCTTTACGCTATTTGTTGTTTTTTTTATATTACGCACAACTGTCATTTAATGTGCAATAATGTAATTGTAACATGTATTTGTTACATATTTTGATGCTTTAGAAAACATTTCAGAATTTTGGAGGGGCTTGGAACGGATTAGGGCATTTACATGGAAAACGTGGCTCTGCTTAAAAAATTTTCTAGTTAAGAAATTTCTTCCAGAACCAATTAATTTAGTAAGTATAGGTACCAGTGCACTGGTGAGAATCAAATTGAAAACGAGGCGACGGCGGAGATTTCAATGTTACATTCTATATAAAAATGGACGCGGAAACACACATTTTTAATAAACCAGAGCGCATAACATACCAGCACGTGATCACACGAAAATGGCGGAAACGAGTCAATTGTCACATAAACCAAACATCAGCAGCGAACCACTTTGCTGGGGTGTTTTAGGATGCCCAACAGGAAACTGATAAAATAAACATCACAGTCATGCTAATGAATGAATGGAGAGCCTGAGAACGAGTGTGCACGGAAGCTCGGAGCTAAATGAGTTAGCAACCACTTCCAGGTACTAGCTAGTAGTAGTAACACGCCTTGCCATTATTCCAAAATTCCTGACCACTTACACGTTTCAAGACAGAGGTAAAGTTATAGCCACGATAACTTACCAGAAATGACATGAGCACACCAAACGCGGGCATTCCTGATGATATTCTCGGTCCAGTCTGTACATTTAATAGCATGCAGCCAGAGCCTCCTTCGGCGTTTTCCTTTTGGGATTTAAGAGAACGGCTAGGAATAGTTTTTTTTTAACTATTTTAACAACGCTACACACACGGATATTTTTTGAAACTATTCAAAAACTATAACGCTTGACTGCGCCACACACGTCGACACTTTTAAACTACTCAAAACCTAACGTTTGCCCATCCACAACTCCCCAGCCTTATAAAGTATCTTTGGTTCTTTTACGTGCGCAATTTATGATGACGTAGACGGGAATTGGCCTCTAAAGAATTGCGCCCCCTCGCCCCCAATTTTGTTTTGTTAAATTTCGCAGTTTCTACTCCAATTGATGCAACACCAACTAACTATAAAAAGGCATGAGACTGAAGTAATCAGTTTTCCATTGTTAAATTGGGTGGTGCTCCAAGGCAATGTAAACAAATATTTTTTACATTAAGTTTTAACTTGGTTTATACACCATTTAGCACATCATGAATAGCGTGTAGTCAGTCATTCTGCTCTTATAGCAAGGTTACATTAAAAATACAGTAATAAGTTTGGTGACTTAAAACTAGTCTGACGAGCACAAGCTATCAAAAAATGTACACAATTTCAACAACTTAAGCACATAAGCCGCCTCTAATCAAACAGGAATTAGTCGGCAAACAAAGATGAGTTTTGTGCAATTTTATTAAGGAAAAGTTTTATAGTCAAAAAGACAGAATGGAATAAAAGTGCAACATCAAAGAGTTGGTTTGTGTGCAAAGAGAGCCCAAAGCCAAAGAAAGTACCTCAAAAGCCATGAGAGACAAAGAGTGAGTCAAAAGAAGCTGCTGACAGATGGTAAGGCATACAACATCTGTCATGGTGGACTGGAGTTGGATTTAGTCCACCTCCTCAATGGTGGGTCCTGAAGAGCCAGAGCCTCCTCCGGGAGCACCACCTGGGAAAGCTCCGCCTCCCGGCATTCCTCCTGGCATTCCCCCTGGCATGCCGCCTGCCCCCTGGTACAGCTTGGTCATGACAGGGTTGCACACCTTCTCCAGTTCCTTCTGCTGGTGATCAAACTCCTCTTTCTCTGCAGACTGAGTGAGGAGCAAGCGAAGGGTTTTAAAAAAGAAAAACACCACAAAAAGTAAAACTGAAAAACAAAACTTCACAACTTTAAACATTAAGTTATGGTACCTGGTTCCCATCCAGCCACTTGATGACATCATTGCACTTGTCCAGAATCTTCTGCTTGTCTTCCTCGCTTATCTTGTCCTTAAGCTTTTCATCCTCGATGGTGCTCTTCATGTTGAAGGCGTATGACTCCAGGGCATTCTTGGCAGCCACCTTTTCTCTCTGCACGTCATCCTCCGCCTTATACTGCTCCGCTTCGTGCACCATGCGTTCAATGTCTTCCTTGCTCAGGCGACCTGATGTTTGCAAAGTCAATGTGACGAAATGTTCACTTCTAGTTGAAAGCAGAAATGCAAACAACTAACTTGAGTGCAACTTCTACAAACTGGGGATTGCGTGTGGGATTTCAAGGTGCAATGTTGTATTCTTTTTATAAACGCTTCATTTTTCAAAAACCTCAAAATAAATATAAATGTCCATTCGTTTTTGGCCCCATTTTCTTCAGTTTCCATTTCTGCCCCATCCCAAACTAAGGCTAAGACAAACGTTTTCTCAAAACATGGCAGCTGTACTCTTACAGTGGGCACTCACCATGCTTTGGTGGGGGGAATCTTAAATGTGTTTCTCCAGAAATAAAAATTGAATATTACTACAATGTTTTTGTTGAACTATTGTAACCCATAACATTCGCCTTTTTAATGCAAAAAACAGATTGTTCCTACTTGCAATGTAACATTTTTTTCATTCAAATTAATCATGAGTTCTTTTACTCAGAACAATTTCTAAAAATGACCTTTTGGTGTACCCCCACTCTCAACATAGTTCTTAAAACTGGGGGGGAGGGAAGCTTATTCGTAACACCACTTTCAATTTGTCCTCCAACATGGCTTTGTTTTGGCGAGTGTAGTGTCATGTGCACCTTTGTCATTTGTGATGGTGATCTTGTTCTCCTTGCCGGTGCTCTTGTCAGCCGCGCTGACGTTCAAGATGCCATTGGCATCAATGTCGAAGGTCACCTCGATTTGAGGAACGCCTCGGGGTGCTGGGGGGATCCCGCCTAGCTCAAATTTCCCCAGAATGTTGTTGTCTTTGGTCATGGCTCTTTCGCCCTCATACACCTGCGGGTAATTAACGGAGCCTTATTTCATTTATCACGCATGGTTCTGAGTGGGGAGAGCGGCGCCGGTGGGCTGTACCTGAATGAGCACGCCGGGCTGGTTGTCAGCGTAGGTGGTGAAGATTTGATTCTGTTTGGTGGGGATGGTGGTGTTCCTCTTGATAAGTGCCGTCATAACGCCGCCGGCCGTCTCAATGCCAAGAGACAAGGGGGTAACGTCCAGCAGCAGCAGGTCCTGAACTTGCTCAGACTTGTCACCAGACAGGATGGCGGCCTGCACGGCTGAAACATCAAAAAAATTGTTTAGACAGACTCACATTACGGAACCTCACACTTGGGGAAAATGATGTCGCACAAAACTTGTCTGACATGAGAAAATATAGCAAGACTTGAGCTCAGTCAACAGCTAAAGCAATGATTTTTAAAAAGGTGCATGGACTCCCGTTTCAGTGGTACGTGAATGACTCCTTGCCTAAATACAGTTTAGTTGCATTTAAGGACACTTTTTTTTTTTTTAACTTCAACGTAGACACTTCGCTCAAGTGCAATTCATTTAAAGGACTTCCTAGTATTCCCTCGAGCTCTCGTCATGTTGAGGAACTATGTTCACTATGTTTGTGTCTTTTGGGGATCCGTCAAAAGAAAGATGGCGACGAAATATGGCAGCTTCGTGTCGGGAAGGCGTGCCCGATGTGATGAGCAATCCCTTCACCGACAATTATGTAAAAATATAATTGATGTGATATAATACAGTTATTTTGCATGTTATTAAAATTAATAGTGGGTTTTTGAAACATTGAATGAAGAAAATAAAACACTGTCCCTTTAACGCCCTGATGCTGATTAAATGGACTTCGCGTCATTTCGCATGTGGAAACTAAATTCTGAAATGTGCAATTCAACCAGTAACAGGTTGGATTTTATTGGACTTTGGTTTGCACATTTTTCTCACAATACCTGCGCCGTAGGCCACTGCCTCGTCGGGATTGATGCTCTTGTTCAATTCCTTCCCATTGAAAAAGTCCTTCAGCAGCTTCTGGATCTTGGGAATGCGAGTGGAGCCTCCCACTAGGACGATTTCGTGGATGGCCGACTTATCCAGCTTGGCGTCACGCAGTGATTTCTCCACGGGTTCCAGGGTGCCGCGGAACAGATCTCCGTTGAGCTCCTCAAAGCGGGCCCTGGTGATCGAGGTATAGAAGTCGATGCCCTCGAAGAGCGAGTCGATCTCGACGCTGGCCTGCGAGCTGGAAGACAACGTGCGCTTGGCCCGCTCGCACGCCGTGCGCAGGCGCCGCACGGCTCGTTTGTTGTCGCTGATGTCCTTCTTGTGCTTGCGCTTGAACTCGGCGATGAAGTGGTTGACCAAGCGGTTGTCAAAGTCCTCGCCGCCCAGATGAGTGTCACCCGCCGTTGACTTGACCTCAAAGATGCCATCCTCAATGGCCAAGATGGACACATCAAAGGTGCCGCCACCCAGGTCAAAGATGAGGACATTTTTTTCGCTGCCGACCTGCCATTAGACGCACGTGGCACTGAGGTTAGACTTGAAGGAAAGAATGACTGTTAAGCTTCATCGACATAGCCTCACCTTCTTGTCCAGGCCATAAGCGATGGCTGCTGCGGTGGGCTCGTTGATGATACGAAGGACATTGAGTCCGGAGATGGTTCCAGCATCTTTGGTAGCCTGACGCTGAGAGTCATTGAAGTAGGCCGGCACGGTCACCACGGCGCTGGTTACGGGCTGCGAGGGAACACAGTGAAACACTTACTCGACAACTGCACCAGTCAACGTGCCACACAAACGGCAGCAACGTTTGGGACCAACTGTCACCGTGCCCGTGTGTCTGCCTTTTTTCCTCCCTAAATGCAACACAGCAAGTCGCTGCCTATTACCTTGACATTTTACATCACATTAACTTGTTTTAAGAGGAGGAGGAAACTGATAAGCTGCTAAATGAATTAATCTAAAATATGTTTGAGCAAAATAAAGTATATGCCGCCGCCATACCTTGCCAAGGTACGCCTCTGCAATCTCCTTCATTTTAAGGAGAACCATGGAGGAGATCTCCTCAGGGTAGAAGGTCTTGGTCTCGCCCTTGTACTCCACCTTGACTTTGGGACGCGAGTTATCATCAACGACAGTGAAGGGCCAGTGCTTCATATCGGACTGAACCACATCATCTTTAAAGTGCCGGCCAATGAGTCGCTTGGCATCTGAGGGGGACAATCATAATTTTAAAAAAGTAAACAAACAAACATGGTCATTGGTTAATACAAGCATGTCATACCAAACACGGTGTTGCTAGGATTCAGGGCGACTTGGTTCCTCGCTGCGTCGCCAATCAGCCTCTCCGTGTCTGTGAAGGCAACGTAGCTGGGCGTGGTCCTGTTACCCTGGTCATTGGCAATGATCTCCACTTTGCCGTGCTGGAACACGCCTACACAAGAGTAGGTGGTGCCCAGATCAATACCAACTGCTGGTGCCTTGGCCATGGCTTCTGAAAAGACAGCGATGAGAAAAGAGCTCTGTTATGATAAAGCGCTCAATCATTCGGAATCATTTCCGTTTCAATTTCAAAGCCATACTAGGCTTTTATTCCTTTCCAGCAGCTCCTATATTTTGTTGTTCTACTTCTTCCTTTCATAACTTTGCTGCTGTGTATTGGGAATTTCTCCATTGCGAGACTAATAAAGGTTTTCTTATCTTATCTTATTTTCAGCCTTTTGCAAACAGTCCCCTGGGTGGGTTTCAGAGTGACAGATCAAATGCTGTTTTCCAGCCTTGCCACTTCTGATGCCTTTATTTTGTTCTTCTACTTCTTCCTTTCATAACTTTGCTGCTGTGAATTGGGAATTTCTCCATTGCGAGACTAATAAAGGTTTTCTTATCTTATCTTTATTGTGGCAACACGGCCAGTCTGTTTGAATGCTGGTCATGTGGTCAAGACTATGAACGTGCAACTCAATAAAGCAGTATGATGCTCGTAACTATGCAAACCACGTAAGAGGAAGTTGACAAATTGTTCTTATGCCCGACAGCAATTACCACAAAAACGGCACTATAGTACTTAGTGTCTTACTATTCCTTGTAAATTTATTTTAATAATGCGTTTTGTGAAATTGCACTGCCTTCTTTCAATTAAAACTAATCCGAAAAGATTGGAGGAGGGCAAAGTTTGGATCGTGGGCCCACACAATTCTATAATCAGGCCTAGCAAAGGTTTAAATCAAGAATCCTGTAACAGATTAAGCACTGCCCCAAAGAAATGGACAAATTAAAATTCACTTTTAATTCCTATTGATTTTTATTAAATCTGGTTTAAATTTATCATAATTAGAACAAAAAAAAATTCAAACAAGGATATGTACACATGTTTAACATAAGCACAATGGTTAGTTACGATTACATTACATTATAAATACCACTTCAAGAAATTTGCAAGCAAGCATTTTGATGAGCTCAACTAAACTATTTTTTGGACACTATTTAAAGATAAATGGGATCATCATTTGACAGCTAGTAATTTACAAATGGAAAAAAAGATACTGGTTGTCATTTTCTTATCCCATTCGGTCAATGTCTTTTCCTTAATTTCCTCACAAGATTAAAGGTGATATGGATCCTTGCCGCCCATTGCAATCTAGCAAAACTTCTTCCCCATGAATAAACTTCAGAACTTAACGTATTTTATATATGTATGACTAATTTTACTATGCGAAGGACTCTCGAAAACAGATGCATGTAACAGTTGTGACATAAACCAGACGGAAGAGTTGGTCAAAAATTGAGCTAATGGTGACAAAGCGCGCATGCGTGTTTCTTGGACTACACCCTCAAAACTCGTTAAAAGGGTGTGGCTCCTCACTTCCTCGAGGCGAACATTCTTGAGCATTCCGTTTCCTTACAAAACTTTGTTAGACAAGAGAATTCTTATCAAAACGACACTTTTCAAGAAAGGACGTGACCCATAGTCGGGTCTTACGTGAGTCATTCACGCAAAAAAAAAAAAAAAAAAAGATCTGCTGGATATAGGTGACTCAGGTACGCAACAAGTTCCCAAAAATGGATTAATTACAATACGTGTTCGTTGCTGCATTTAAAGTACATCAATAGTAGCCATCGAATTGCAATTTGTCCTGATACTGCAACATATGGGACTAAAATGGCCATTTTCGTCCGTTATCCTTCGTGGTCGACGACCTCAACTTCTGTAACGTCAGCTTGTTCCATTTTAGAAAGTTAAACTCGCAAACAGTAAAGATTAATGCAATTGCTCGTACTCACCTCTTTTCACAAAGTGTCGTAGTACTTTAAGGCCTCTGCGGTGCTGCTGGACCGGCCCACTCTCGAAACGTCGACTGGATGGCCAAGAGGAAAAAGAAAGAGCTGGTTTCGCCTGTAGCCTTTAACGTCGCAGCACACCCGCCACAGAAGTCTCGAGAAGGAAAGGCGGGGCCACCAACGCATGCTCGTCCGTCGACGGTCCAATGAAAAAAAAGTAATTCTCTGTTGCTTCCGCAAGGAGGGAGGACATTTTGCAAGGGAGGCTTTTCTTTGGTTTAAAAATATCCTCCCCCTAAAACGGCGGCGTGAATAATTATGACGTTGCAGTCACGTTGTTACACAACTGTGGAAAACTACTCATCACAGGTTCGATATAACTCGACACAGCCCACTCTGTCACTATGATTGACAGAAGTACATGATGAATATGATATGGGCCATCATCGGGGATGTGTAGAAAGTGACCTAATCCACCTCTTCACACCACTATCACATCTTGACAAAATAACATATTACAATGCGATAACTGTGTGGCAAGAGAGACAGAACGAGTGGGAGAGAGAGGGGGCATTTTGTGCATTTGGGATGGATGCACGGACTTACAGAAGCCAGTGGACAACCATCTTACGTTACGAACAACTTCAGATTTTTTTTTTCTGAAATCACAGTAATCAGTGTGTGTTTTACACCAGGGGATCCCGGAAAAAATGAGAGCCACCCAAAGAACGAACTTCAGTTTGCATCGATCATTCAGAGTATTATCTCAATATCGCAAAATGAATCATGACTTACAAAGGTTATGTTTCCATTTCGCAGGCCGCTTTTTCCTCAACGGCTTTCTTTCATTTCACCGTTGATGGTTCTGACAATATGATGCATATATCCTGGGTGAAGTCTCAATATTTCCCATTCGATTTGTGCATTATGTATTTTGTGTGTTACGTAATGTAGTGTACAGACTATGAGTGCACATGCCTCGAGAGTGTCACCAGTGAAGAGGCGTGTTTGCCCCCCCCCCGCCCCCCATGTACATTTATGTTGCACACTGTAAACATCCGTGCATGCCTTTATTGTCACGTGCCTTCATTTATGGAAGTCACACTCACTGACACATGTCAGTGACTTAACAATACCTCACATTCTGTCAGAACTAAACAAACAAATCAAGTGTGTCAATAATGGAATTTAAAAAAAGGATAAAAAACTTCTGTCTAGTTATTGTATCTCCTCTCCTTTTATTAAATGATATCCATTCCATCCATTTTCTGATCCGCTTATCCTCACAAGGGTCGCGTGGCGTGCTGGAGCCTCTCAGCTGTCCACGGGCAGCTGGTGGGGGACACCCTGAACTGGTTGTCACCCAATCACAGTATTAAATTATAGTTTCTTAAAATTATCTTTTCATTTGACCACACTTCCTTCTTGGTTTATTCATTGTGTATCATTTCCAATTTTCAATTTATCACATGATGGCAAAAAAAAAAGACCTAAAAATGGGGGCTTGCATAACTGTGTAGACACTCAATTTTAAATCTGGATTTATTTATTTTACAATAAATATGAAGTAAATAAGATATGCACACTTAAAAAAGAACTTTTTACATCTCTGATACAGTTTTGTTTTCAATAAGACCATGGCTGGGAAATATCTTGCTTCTCCACATCTGTTGCGTCATAGTCATTATTGCTCCCCGGTTCATGTTACTCCATGTCGCTGCAAATTATTTTTAGTCATTTTATTAACCACCTCATACGGTAAATCGCCAAGATCTCAACATTGTGTCGTAATCTGCGGAGGTTAAAAAAAAAAAGCATTTTGACAACGAAGATAGAAGAATGTACAGATATACATTTTTGGGGATGTAGGACAGAAAAAAATCATCAGAAAAATGAAGATCTAAGTAAGGCATCGATACCTGCAAAATCAATTCGGAAAAATCCAAAAATCAGCGGTGACCGAACCCGGAATCATTCGAAATAACAGATGACTTGTTCCCAAGTGGTCCAGGTACCACGTGGCACCTAAACAGGGCGTCGTCCAACACTTTTGTCTTCATGTAAAACGAGGTCACAGTTGCTATTCTGAGTTCTTTTTACTGGATGCTACTTTGACAAAATGTGCTTTTGCTCAATTGCCTTCAATGTATACATGCAAGCCGTAGTTCCCCAGGGGTACAAGATTTACTGCTCTGGGACATTTGGTCACGTATTTACGCCAAAGGCATGGCTCCAAGATAATGGACGACAAAAGTCATTAAAAATGGCATTTGCAAGGTGAGCCGTCTCATGTATTGTAAGACGTCCTTCCCTTCTTCACACAGTGGCGTATTGTGGCAACAGTCGCAGGGGAGCAGTAAAGCTAGACGGCCCTTGATGCAAAGACCAAAAACAGGATCTCTCCCACATGGGTGTGGCCTTTCATAACAGCCACAACATTCTCTATTTTGCTCTTTTTTTTTTCTTTCCCCTCTTTACAGTTATCAGCATAGCCCTGAGGCAGCAACAAGAGTGTCGGTTACGAAACTCTTGAGAAGTGCCAAGCGCCATTTTTATCACATCAAAAGAGTTGTGAGGATATGGTGTTCTCACATCGCTTTGTTTGCGGCTGTTGTTTTGCTATGCAACGCTTGCACTGCCCATACCTTTCCCCAGGCATTCTCACAAGAGAAGAATAGCCATTTCCCAAAAATCGCTGTGCCGTGGCACGTTGCTGTATCCAGAGAGATCATGAGACGTCCTACAAGAAATGATCCAATTACCAATGACTACATAGCAAGCCTTACGCCAGTAACATTTTGGTGACTCTGAGAGCTTGGGAAAAAAAAAAAAAAAAAGACCAAGCATGTTCTAGAGCATTCTCGGTTCGGGCTACAGTACTCTGGAGTGCCCTCGCTATGGAAATCAGAACGGCACCCTCTGCAGAAATGTTTATACCTCAACTTAATCCTTTGAGAGCCAAAGCAACATTTACAGTATGCCTTTTTCTCAATTTTCAAGCTTCAAACTTTGGAAATAGTGATATCATAACTGATTTTTTAAAATTAAATTGGTTGAACCACAAATGATAAGCAATTTTTTTTTCTTTTGCTGTGACTTCCATCTGGATTTTGGCCTGTTTTACTGCCGCTTCTCCTCTCTTTTTGCTTGGTGGCATCCTGTAAGATTTTGCTCACATCAAACATGCACCTTGGCTTATTAAAGGTTGGGAAAAAAGTATTCTAAACATATAGCACCTTATAAACAATCAAATACAGGATGCATTTTGGACAATCATGAAAGACATTCACCTTTTTGATTGTTATTGAAATTACACCATTTATAAATAAATGTTGAATACCTGCAGTATAACTGGTGTTCTGGTATAAAAGTGCTGGTATATTTACAGTGTCTTTCTCACCCTTGACCAGAAAGAAAAGGTTAAATTTAGAAATTGAAAAACAAAAATAAAATGCATTTATGCTGTGGAAGTCAGGGCTCATGTTGCACTATTGTTCGGTGCATTCCGCTCACACGCCCCCTTTGAATGACTTTATAAATGGAGTCATTTGCGTGACGACTGGAAGACACAAAATGATTTACAGGTGAGAACGGATCATGATTTTCTTTATTATTATTGGTAGTATTAGTCATCATGAAATTATTTACCAACATAAAATTACAATAATTTATGGAAAATAGTCATATCACAAGAAGTCTTAATATTTGGAAGAAAAAAATTAAATTCTCATGACATTGTTCTTGTGAAATTACAACTTGTAAGATTTCAATGCTGATTTTGCACTGGCGACTTTGTTCACTTCATTCTAATGTGCCTTACACAAATAGTCAAACTTGAGATTCGTAAAAGTTTATTCTTGAAAAAAAATTAAGGCTTTGTTTCCTCTCATAGAATTCAATTTCTGTTCATTTTTAAAATTTATGTTTTAAGAGGTCTCATAAAAATACAAATTATTATTAACCGCAAACGTTTTCTCATAGAATGCATCTTTTATCTCCTATAATTCCTGTTAGAATGTTTTTCTCATAATATTAGCCCCGCCCCCCGACTAAATGTACTTTTTCTTATAAATGATGACTTTTTCCCAGCAGGTGTGTACTGAGGTTTGCACTCCACTGGATGTTTTTCACATCTGTCGCTGTAATGTCTCGTGTGTCCAGAAAAATGTGGCTGGCGCTGCTTGTGTGCCAACTTAGTCTCTTAGGTGCCCGGGGTCAGATACCAGCTGAGTGCGTTACGAGTGACACAAACAGACCACCAGGTACCGTATGTTTACACGGATGTATACTTTGTTCACATTTTCTTTTGTGCGGTGAGGAGGTTCAAGCCTTACATGCGTTTGTTTCAGAAAACTCTGACATCATGGTGTACTGCGGCACTGAGCACATGGACCTGAGCGTCTTCCTTTGCCCCGTGTACCAAGCTCTCTACAACGAGTCGCTCATGGTGCTCAATAACGAGTTGAACAACGCCGAATGTTTCGGCGAGGCAGACTTCACCGTCGACCCGCCCGTCTTGAAATTCAGCTTCCCCATCAACGAAAGCACCACGTCGTCGTGCGGGAATGACTTTAATGTAGGTTGTCGCGTAGTTCACTTTGCGAGCTCAATGATCTGACTGAAGCCTTTCTCTGAAGATTATCAATCAAGTGGGCACCGGAGCATTCGCCGACTTCTCCAACGTCCAATATGTCAACATCTCCGGCACCGTCAACTCCATCGACCCGTCGGCCAGCATGATCACCTACAGGCCGCAGCTCATCTACATGTTCTCCTGCCTCTACCCTATGCAATATATCATCAACAACACTGAGCTGGGCGTGTGAGTGGGGACACGTCGTGGCACCGTGCCGCTTTTGTGGGTCTTTAAGTCACAAACCCCCTCTCTCTTTTGTTTTTTTTTGTTTTTTTTTAATTATATACAGAGCTGGTGTGAATGTGGCCATTAAAGACAACAACGGCAGCTTCATCAGCACGTTGAGCTTGGAGTTATATGAAGTAAGAGCGGATCTGGATTTTACAGCTGACTCATCCATTTGATACGCTCGTGACCGTGATCAGGTTGTGGGGCGGGCTGGAGCCTGATGGGGAAAGTCATACGATCAAATTGCCGTCCATCCATTTTCCGTAGCGCTCGAACTCAGTATGGTTACGAGTAACTGGAGCCTATTTGAGTTGACTTTGGGCACGAGAAGTCACGGAACACTGCCGACTGGTGCCCAGTCGAGTGCAGGGTACATTTACAATAAGATAAGACATGAAACTCACGATAATCCCGTTAACAATTTGACAAAGGTAAGAAGTGCTCCACGAGAAGAGCTCAGCATACTAATGAGACCAATTTGAAACACAGACCGAGGGGACTTCCTTGTTCACCAGGGAGATACTGAAAACCTGCAAAATGGAGGAAAAGCTTTTGGCTGCAACGAAAAAGGCTTTTGATAGCGTTTCCCCCTTCGTCCACGTTGCTCTCGGATTGGTTGCAAAGTTTCTGGTTTTGTTTGAGCTCATCTATTTGGTTGTTGGTTGTTTCATGTGATGATATCAGACATGTTTGATGTCGTCGTAAACCCAAGACTGGGGAAAAAAACGAGACGTCGAAAACAGCTGAGATTACCACCTTACATTCAACGATGGAGAATATGTCAAACTCTGACACGTCCTTAAGACTTTTGCTTTTCAGCCCGAGACTGTGAAAATTGTGAGGTGTGAGCTCAGCTTTAGTCTGCCAAAAGTCTCCGCCCCGTCAAACAACTTGGCAGGGAATCATTTGAAATAGTGCCAACCCAACGAGTTCCTTTTGAATGTGGAGTAGAGAAGAGAATGAAGCCCAAACACTTTGCGTATGAAAGGCATTCCGGAAGCTTCCGGGTTCAGCACTGACCATGATTGTCCAATCTGCGTGTGAAACTCACAATCAGTTTTTCCCTGTCACTTCTCTCTCCCTTGCACTCATCAACCCTGATCCATTCTTGCTGTCATATTTTAACCTTTGGTACTTTTTGACTATAACTGGATCTTTTTCTGATTGGTCAGGACGATCAATTCCAAAACGCTCTTACCATGCCAACAACGGGACTCCAACTGAAGACCAAAATCTACGTCGCCGTCCGAGCCACCAATTTAACAGACAGGTGCCTGTCATCTTCTCAAAGCTTTCATGTCGTCACGAAAGACAACTGAAAAGACAACTGCTCTCTGATCTGTTTGACAGATTCAACGTGCTGCTGGATCGATGCTACGCCACCACAAGCCCCTACCCAGCTTTCGATTCCTTCTACGACCTTTTTATCGGGTGAGCAGACAATGGCTTTGCACTTAAAGAGTGGTACGCATTAAGATCTCGCCGTTCACACCCACACCCGCTTCATCCTCCCCAGCTGTACACGTGACGACCAGACCGAGGTCATCCTTAATGGCGAATCCCAGGTGGCGCACTTTTCCTTTGAAGCCTTTCGATTCGTGGAGCACAAGAATCGAACCGTGTCCACGTTCTACCTACACTGTGTCACGAGGCTGTGTGAAGTGTCCGCCTGTGAGGCTCTAAAACCGGTGAGCCTCATAATGTAACTTCTCCCCAAGGCCTGTTAGGTAACATATCGACAAATGAGCAGACACACATGGCGTGCGGTACATGTTCCTTTCACTTTTGTAATGCGCATTGATTTTCTCTTCCGTGACAATGGAGCTGTTCCATTTCCTCCCGAATGCAAGTGATAGAGTGCTGAAAGCTTATTCTCCATTAATCAGTAGGTAGCCTTCGAGCTAACATGGTCCGACAAAATAGCAAACATATGGCACTACATGATTATTATTATTATTATTTTTATACTTTTGTTTGAGGAATTTTCCAATTTCAGTCCTGTCGTACGTCATTCTCCTTGAACGAGGAATTTAGCCTGCTAGCTAACATACGGATGGGCCAATTAGTATTAATGATGAAGAATTTATTTTCTTTGAAGTTACAATAAAAATGTTTCCTTTTGACCCAAAATGAAAATGGTAGTCCAACTCAAAGTAGACAAACTAAAATATCGTGCTACTTGTCATGGCGAAGGTAAACCTGCTTATATTTGATTTTTACACATTCCGTCCTGCCACATTTGCACCCAGCCACATGCAGTAATTTCATGATTATGAGTAAAACATATGAACAATGATCTACTAATCCCGTAAAAAACCATGATCGCTGCAAATTCTCGAATACTTTGAGGGCTGCCAGTCCTTTTGGTTGGTTGCTGCTATCCGTCTTTTATCTTAATCAGCAAGTATGTGTCGAAATGCCAAGTTTGGTTTACACCGCGAGTACTTCCGACCGCACAGCAGGCTATGTCCATTTTAGAAGATCATCGCTTCTATAAATAGATACAGGACGAAACGCTTTACAGGAGGTGCAACGGGTTTCAACAGGTGCAAATACAGTAGTTATTTTGCCGTCCGTCATAGCGCAGGGGGCGTTCCTACAAAGGCTTGGACGTAACGTTGAAAATCAGAATTGGGAATCCCTGGAGGAAAAAAAGCAACATTTATTTGTTCCGTTTGGTTTGAACAGGTCTGTTCAGTTGGCCGCAGAAGAAGAAGAGAGGTTGAGGACGTGTTGGCTAACGCGACAGTTACCTCGCCGCCCATTATGGTGGCCAAAAAGAGCAGAGGTGTGTATTAAAATATGTATTTTGACACCCCACCCCCCCGCCACACACACACACACACACACACACACACACACACACACACACACACACACACACACACACACACACACACACACACACACACACACACTCCATATAAACCAAGGATGACCAAACTTTTTCCACTGAGAATCACAGACAGAAAAATGGATGGAAGGCCTCACTTCACCTTTCGATGGTCAACATATTGCTAAGCGGGTAAACATATTTTTAAAAAAAAGTCTAAATTCCAGCTTGCCATGATTGGTGATCAAGTGCTAAATTATTATTATGCATGTGACAGCAGTCAAGTAAATTAAATAGTGAGGGAATACTGTCAGGGAATGTGCGGCAGGCTAATTTAAAAAAAAAAAAAAAAAAAAAGTGAAGTTGGCCACAAATGGCGACTGGAATAGAACGTCTTTTTATTCACCCTCGGAAATGAATCAAACTAAAAGGGAATTCAGTTCAGTCATGCACACATTGTGTTTGATTTCATGTCTTTTTTGGTTTTTCTTTTCAGATTTTCAAACTAACACAGCTTCTTATGGTAAGAATGTATGTGTCTTTATTTAGAAAAAAAAAGCCATTGGTATGAAGTCATAAGTAACTGAATTTGTTCCCTATTCTTTTCCTTGCACATCTAAAATGTCGGCTTTTCGTTCTGTCTCCCTCTCTTGGTCACTGTTTACGTTCCTCTGGACGGGTTGAAACTGGGAAACTAAATTCCTTGCGTATTTTCCATATTTGGCCCTTACATAGTAAGTATAGTGGACAACTGCTTAGCACGTCCGCCTCACAGTGCAAAGATGCAGGGTTCGATTCTGGCACCGGCCTTCCTGTGTGGAGTTTGCATGTTCTCCCCGGGCCTGAGTGGGTTTTCTCTGGGTACTCCAGTTTCCTCCCACATTCCAAAAACATGCATGGTAGGCTGATTGAACACTCTAAATTGTCCCCAGGTGTGTGTGTGAGCGCGGATGGTTGTTCGTCTCTGTGTGCCCTGTGATTGGCTGGCAACCAGTTCAGAGTGTGTGCCGCCGACTGCCCGAAGACAGCTGGGATAACGCTCCAGTACATCCGCGACCCTCGTGAGGATAAGCGGATTAGAAAATGGATGTATGGATGATTCTAATGGATGTGTATATTTTTTCATTCCTCAGGTGTATCCAGGAGACCCTACAGTGACCTTGTGGTGGCGGTCATCATTAATATCGTCATCTTGTCCCATTTTAGATTCTAAATTCTTTTTTCTGAATATTGACCATGTTTAGCTTATTTTTTTTCCCTAGGACACGTTATTCAAATGCACCTTATTTGTAAATGCAAACTTTAACAGACGCAAATTGAAGAAATGTGTTGTCCGTCTCTGTAGTTTAGTGTGAACATCAACAAAAATATTGTTGGTATCATATAGGAAGTGATGACAGTACAGAATCACTAATATATATGTAGAAATTAAAGTCACTTGAAGTTTTATTCATGTGGAAACAGTTCATTACATGCATGCAGTCAAAATTCAGCCATTGAAGTGAAAATACTGCGATTGTAAAAAGTGTTTTGAAGAAATGCCAAGAGTGTCGAGTATTTTTAGTAAATTGCAAAAGGTTCTGAATTTCTGTTCCAGCTACAGCTGTTGTAAAATCGCCATATCAATATAGATGTATTGTATTATATACAGTACATGCTTCACAGTAACCAATACATCCATCAATATATTAAAGCGATACAGTAATGTGTAGTCATGTTACAATGAGCTACAGAAGTTGGATAGCTTGTAAACAGGGCTATAGCCAGGGAAAATGTTAACCAAGCTCCAGAGGGGTAAAAGTACAAAGGTTTGAAACTTTAGGATTATATTCGTTAATTATTTTTACAAAAATATTCGATCAAGCTTTTGCCAAAAAATTTGTTATATTTTTTAAAAAAAATTGGGGAAATTATTCTCATGTACAACTTGTGTTCAATCTTCAAATTAAAGTAATATCCCACTTTTGTTTTTTTCCTGTAAATTATTCTAACATAGGTTTTGTTCCTTTGAAAAATAAATGAACTACTCTTAGTGAAGTACAACTTAAAAAAAAAAACGTCACGTACAATTTATTTATTTTTACCAAATCTAAGTAGTGTTGAACTTTAGTTCAGTTTTTCAACGTAATTTAATGTAAAACCTTTGTTTGTTGACTTGCAACTTTGAATAAATGATTCTATGAGACAAACAACGTTTGGTTATTTTCTAAAATAAATAATTCCAAGTAACATACAACTTTTAAAACCCCCCCCGCTCCCAAATTATTTATATGAACTGTACAAGTTTGGGTTGTTTTCCAAAAAACAGTTTTCAGTAACATACACTTTTTATGGTTTATTCTATCTTGTGCTGATTTTTACAAGCAAAGTTTTTCTTGTTTCTTCGTCTGTTTATTTATTTATTTTAAATCCCTTAAAATAATGAACAGTGTTAGGCCAGAAAATCATGGTTTTCCAGTTTGGTTTATGTCTCTGTACTTGTAGCTGAAAGAAGCTTCAGGAGTCTTTGCTCTGCTGTGTCATGAAAGCAGAAGACATCCATCCAGAGTCGCGGTTACTACAACATTTACAATGTGAACCGTATTTGTTTGCCGCTTTGCACAACTGGTTAGCCATTTGCATACACAAAAAGTGGGACTTCATCCCGGGCTACGGCCACGCAGTTGAAAGAATGCTTTCATGCAAGAGTTGCATCAGTGCGTGTCCAAGGTGAAAGTTGCAGTAATACACAGGCGACAATGACACATTCATTCAACGATTTAACACGTGTTCGACAAATGGGCCTCTTGTTGGGAGTGAATGACTTTAACACATTAAAATGAGGGAGTTGTGTTTGACATTTTTTTTAAGCTCCCTGGTTCTCGTTTGTTCATCTTTGGCTCGTTGAAAAATGATCGATCAAGAAGTCGTGATGGCTTTTGGTTGAAGGATTAACAAATGTTACTTTTGAAAGCTGTATTGCAAGGAAAATGTCGACGTCAACTTATCTGAAGGCCGTTTTGGCCGAGCTCATCATACGCAACGGCAACACGGCCTCTGCCCATTCATTGGGTGACGCCGCCATGCGCGCCCACAGCGCCACCTCCTCAGGAGTGGAGTCCATCCAGTCCACCGCCGAGCCGTAACTCCTTCCTGAAGAGAGATTGAATCTTTATAGTAAGATGAATTTCATGATTCAGTACAGTTAAAAGATCTGTTGTTTCCATTCTTCACAATACATACTGGAGGTGGTCACGAAAGACAATACTAACCACAAACTACGACTAGTATAAGTACTACTACCGCCATTATTACTACTGTGACAGGGTAACAACAAATAACAACATGAAGAATACAAATAACTTCCAGATGTGGGCATTCCATCAATCCGTCACTGACGGATGCCCGTTTTTCTGACGAATGAGGACAGACTTCCCAAAAAAAATGTCGGACGAAGCATGGAGGTGGATTTTCGTCTGTGGGTGTGCCAACAGAGCTTTTAGTCCGTCACTAACGGACGCCCATTTCACCGACGACCGATGGAAACACGCCCTTGACTGTCTTGCGTGTGTTTGTCCCAGGGGGTTAAAAACATGGACTTCCAAATGCATGGTTAAAGGTCAATCCATCCATCCATTTTATCCTCACAATGGTTGTGGAGGGTGCTGGAGCCTATCCCAGCCATCTTCGGGCAGTAGGCGGGAGACACCTTGAACCGGTTGCCAGCCAATCGCAGGGCACACAGAGATGAACAACCATACCCCCTCACACACACACACCTGGGGACAATTTAGAGTGTTCAATCAGCCTGCCATGCGTGTTTTTGGAATGTGGGAGGAAACCGGGTACCCGGAGAAAACCCATGCAGGCCCGGGGAGAACATGCAAAGTCCACACAGGAAGGCCGGCGCCGGGATCAAACCTACGACCTCTGCACTGTGAGGTCTAGGTGCTAACCACGGCCGGCGCCGGGATCAAACCTACGACCTCTGCACTGTGAGGTCTATGTGCTAACCACTGGGCCGCCCTAAAGTAAATTTAGAAAATCTTAAATGAAATATTTTTTATGTCACAAGTAATTAAACAAAATAAATTTTTAAAAAAGCATGAAAAAAATATTTGGTATTTCGTACATTCAACAAAGTAATCGTTTTCCTGAAGTGAAAACCCCGGAAATCTGACGCCATTTTGTCAGCATGGTAAATAGCAAAATGTAGTTTCAGTTAGTGTTCGTTTTTTTTGACAAGCGTTTTTAATTTTAGTTTTATTTCGTTCACAAAATAGTTTTTACAATTTTAGTTTAAGTTACGTTGGTAGTTTTTGTTCATCAAAATAACCTCGCCTCTAAGTACTCGATTGTGTTCAACTGCAGTACCCGTGCCAGCTCCGAGCCTGAGTCCGCCCAGCAGGCTGCTGGCCAGCTTGTCCCGGTCCCAGACGCTGAGTTCCACACAGGCCTCGGCGAGGTCCATTTCTCTGATGCCGTCGTATACCATGGTGTGGTTGAACACGGGATCCGCCGTCCTCCTCAGCACACGCGTCTTCTGACGACTCTTGCGGCTAGTGTCGGGCAGCACAAAGCTGGAAACGGCACCAGAAAGGAGTCAATACATTTGGACATCAGCGCTAATGATTTCCAACTTGTGCAGTGCGTACCATTTCACGTAAGGGTCGATGGTGGCTCTGATTAAGGGCAGGCTCTTGCATTCTTTCACCCAGATATGAATCTCTCCGGTGATGGGAGCGTCGTTAGCTAAAGCGAGAAAGGGAGACACTATTTGAACCCTTTCATGCACAAATAATGATAACCTGTAACCTGATAAGCTGTCCACTGTAGTAACCGCTGTCCCCGAAAGGTTTATGTGATACTTAATTGGCCATTTTGTGCAGTAACAAGTGACTATTTTGTCACTAATGAACTTGATCAGGTCACTATTTTTCATGTACAATCGACACCTTTAAATACACATTTTGCCACTTGCTGTCGACTGGAAATGAGATCACACGTGCTTGCTGGAGGGTCAGATAACAACCGATCACGGCTCATGTGACGTTCGCATGCCAAGCCGTGATTGGTCGTTTCCTGAGTACATGTGATGTCGGT